TTTTTTAATAAACCCTTTTTCATTCGACATACTTTATCTTAATCGAGATATTAATAAGGAACCAGCAGATCAAGTAGCTTTTGGAATAAAACACCAATTTTTTTAAAATTAAACACTATCTAAAGATTTGCATCGAAGCGTTTATTTTTGATAGTGATTTTAATCACTGTCAGATATCATTATACTTGATCCAACTATACCACGTCACAACTGTGCCGCGACCCCCCTGTGCTGGGTTTTTTTTTTAGAATAATTATAAATGTTATAAGAGTTAAAACAATTTTTAAGTTCTTATTTTTTAACCCAAAATTCTTAAATAATTAAATTATAATGCATTACTTTATAATACTAAAACGTGTTATTTTAAGCGCTATAATAGGTACTTAAAAATTTTGTTTTTAGTGCTTTCTTCATATGCAACAAAAGACAAAAAATATTTATATTAATAGAAATGTCAAATTTTATTTTATGATCATTTTTGCAATATTAGTTTAATACTTAATGAAAAACTACGCTTTAATAATTAAAATTTAATATAGATTTTTTAAAAAATATAAGTTTTATTAAGCATTAAGTTCAACATCCAAGTCTCAATCGTGTTCAAGTGTACACGTTTTTGTTTGTGTTTTCATTGTTATACACAATTTGATGATAAAGTAGAGCCCCCAACAATGAATGGTCATGTCTTATTGACTAAGCATCCAGACCATCAGATGTGTCCTTCATAGACCGAATATCGTTTTATTTAATTAAATCTAAGTAATGAGCTGTATTTTAGCTTCGATGCGAAGCTGAGAAGGTATTGGTTTTACTAAGATGTGTTTATTTTTTTTTTTTTTGTTTTTTGTGTCTGTTACCACTTTTTCTCAGCTNTTTGTTTTTTTAAAATGTTTTTTTTTTTTTTTTTTTTTTTTTTTTTTTTTGTGTCTGTTACCACTTTTTCTCAGCTTTCACCGAACCAATTTCTTTCAATGATACGTCAAAAGATCACAAATTGTATCTAGTCGAAGACATTACCCTCAAAAATTGAAAAAAATGCCCTCGTTCCCCGTAAATGGGGGAAACCTCCAAAAAAATTACAAATTTAAAAATCGCTTATTTTCGAAATTTTTTCAATTTTTTTTACTTAAAAGTGCCATAACTTTTTCAAAAATAAACATATCAATATAATTCTTTTTTATATAAATGTGTAATATAATTACCTTTCGTTTGGTATTTTTTTTCTCATAAATTTAACCCTTTACCTGCCCGCAGGGGGGATTTAAAATGACCATTTTTTCACAAAAAATTTACTTTTTCAACTTAAATTTTGAAAGTGTTCCGGAAAGTCTGACACTTTTATATATATCTTAAATTAAAGCTAATATAATATTCTTTATTATGCAAAAAAAAAATTTCGGACTTTATTTTATCTTCACGGTGAAAATGGCTACCGAATGCTATTTTTGTGTGAAAATTTTCGATTTTGTATTTTACATTTTTAACTTTATTATGCTATAACTTTTTGAAAAATGTATG